ATTTTTTTTATTTTTTTAGTTTGAAAAATAATGACTAAATATATTTTAATTTTAATTAAAATAAATTTTATTAAAAATCTTTTTTAAATGTAATTTTTTTTGTAAATTTTTTGTTATATTTGTTTAATTTTATAGATCTAAATACTTTTTGGTTCAAAAAATGTTTAGAGACTTAATCGTTCAAAATATGAATGTTCATTGGGTTTTTTTTGGGACTTTTTTCACTATTTTACCACATTAACTAGTTGTACAAATCATAAGAATGTATCAAACATGTTTTAGAAAAGTCCAAGAAGTTATTTAACATGTTTTGGATTGTCCAAGAACTTATTTGTTCCAAAAAATTGTCTAGTGAGTTATTTAACATGTTTTAAATTGTCCAAGAATTTATTTGTTTCAAAAAATTGTCCAATGAGTTATTTAACATGTTTTGGAATATCCAAGGACTTATTTGTTCCAAAAAATTGTCCAAGAACTTAATCATTCCAAACACTAAAGTCCGTTAGGTTTTTTTAGACTTTTCCCTTTATTTTAATACATCATATAAATCAAAATATTTTTACCCGATCACTACTTAAAGACCGTTTACCAAATATTTACTCTGTAAGTGATTACCAATAAAATTTAAGACTACTATTTGCTTACCGGGTAAGATTTCAGTCCACCAAAACGACATCGCATGTAATAATTTACCCAATAAGCGCTTACTGTGGTAAGAGTCGTCACTCTTACTTACCGGGTAAGACTCTTGGTCCTTGTCTCGCTCTTACCGGGTAAGATTCTTGGTACTTGAACCGAGTACGATTCTTGGTCCTTACCATATTCATCCGGTGAGGTAATGTGACTTGATAAACGCTTACCCGGATAAGCGTTTGGTAAACGGTCCCTTACAAAATTTAGATATCCAATTGTTTAACCGGATCCACTATTTCAAAATCCAAATTGATCATCGGTTGTTGGATGTCAATTCAAAATCAAATAAACCGATCCGATCCGTTCCCCAATTACTACCCAAGCATCAAGGATTTGGAGTAGTTGCCTGAAGCTAATCGGATCGGATCATAAAGCTAAAATCCAACGTCCAATGGATTATCACGACCAACATAATTAAATCACAAGGAAAAAACAATAAAATCCCAAAAACCCGTCATCCACCAACCAAAACCGACCCAATTCGAATGTCGAAACATCGAACCATCCAACCAATTCGACTGATCGGTTTATGTCTTGTAAATCTTTTAACATTAAAAAACTAATCCAAGTTTCTTGAAAGATTTCTATCTACCACAAGAATGCTTCTTAGATATGCATTCTAATCTTGCTTGTTTATCAAGAATTGTTGATCATGGAAGCTTACCCCTTATCTGCCCTTTAACCTTCCTTGTGTGACCACCAGATACCTTCTAATTGCAAGAATAAGGACCCAGGTGGTCGCTGTAATCTTTTCTTTTATCATTAGAAGTAACGCCGAGCTTAATACCGTCTTCAGTATTTGAGCCTGCAATCCCTTGAAAAACCCCAACGCCCCTTCTCGTCTCCAGATAGCATCTAAAACGCTCAATATGGTTTTCCGTGGTTTCTTTCTGTTTTTACTGGTGTCATCTTCGCTAGAATCTGCAGCCTGAATCATGACCTTGCACCTGCATCAGATTTGGTAAAGTTTGGATTTTAGCTTCAAAATTGATCTGAATCCTTCAAATTGCGTAGAAAATTGTACAGATGCATACAGTTACTCTAACAACCCGTCCACATGGATAGAAAAGTAAAGTTGTGGGGGTATCAGAGCCGATTCTTGTGCCATGATTTTAAGTTGAATTTACGTTTATTGGGTCAGCCTGTTGCTTTGAGCATTGGGGAGTTACAAATGGTATCAAAGCCAATCCTTTTACCATCGGGTTGGCGAGGCAAACCTCATTGGACATGATGAATCCTCAAGAAGGGGGGGGGGTTGTTTGAAACAACTTAGGCGAATCCCACATCAGCGATTACAAGGAGGAAAGATTTTGGGCAGACCTGATGAGGACGTCAGGACCCACATCGCCGATTACAAGGAGGAAAGATTCTGGGTAGGCTGATGAGGATGCCAGGAGTTTAAGTGAGGCGTTTGTAACAACACGTTCCACAATGATAGAAAAGTAGATTTGTGCTTTTCTTATAAGCTCAAAGTTATGGGTTATCAATAACTTCCACCATGATTTTAAACTGAATTTGAAGTTATTGGGTCAACCTGTTGATTTGGGCTTTGGGGCGTCTTGGTCTCGATTTCTTTTTGCAACAAAGGAAATCATATTTTCTTTATGGAAATGGTATCTCTACGATCTGGGTACATCCTATCCCACAGATGCTATCTCTGTGTCAGATATACGGGGTTGGTTTGGTTTTTAATAAAGAAAGAGATGTATTTACGAACCTGATAGCTGGATATGTAAGAACGGTTGCAATACTTTTGGAGATTGCTCCGAGTAAAAAGGCAGAGAAGGCAGAAAGGGATTCAGGAGAAGATCCCTTCCCTGCTTTTTTCAACTTTCCGTCTAAAAGTCTTTGCTTCAGCTGATCAAATACTGTGTACTGCATAAATAAATTGTTCAATACGGTATCAGCTAAACCGTTATCAACATGTACTAGATCACGGATTCAAACATCAAAATCTAACCATTATATATACATATATATAGCGGCCAGTTCAAATCAAAAGGCTAAATATTGTGAAAAGGTATGAAGGGAGGGTTCATACGTGAATCACTTAAAAGATCGCGAAAAAATCTATTTGAAGATGCATATGTAAATCGACATTACAGATTATTAACATGGGTTCACAAATCCATCTTGAAATGGAGTTTTTCAATGATTCACATATGAACCTTTCCTTCTTATCTCCTCATGATACGTGGCTTCTTATTTGAACCTCCCACTATACACACACACAAAAAAAAAACATACAGGGACGGGTTCATTCGAGAACTGCAATATTTTGAAATCCGTGAGAACCAAATAGTCATAATGAATATCATGATGTTTATTATGAATACTCATGTATATTCAACATGAATGAATATTCATCGGCTCTCAAAAATAAAACTACATACCTGAATTGCAGGGTTGGAAGTTAATAGTAAGGAGATGCCGAGCCCATCAAATGCTTCAATCCAGCTGCCTTCCGAAAGCATTGCCCAAAGCCCTTTTGATCTCCCAAATGCACTTGTCTGCATTCGTGATGATGCCGTATCCAAAGGCTACATGATAATAAAGTTAGGTATAGCTTTAGTACCAGAACACTTAAATCGGAAGCATATATCCCAGACAGTACTATTATAAGCCATAGCTTGCAAAAGAAAACTAGTCCAAAGATGATCGGCACAATTTGACGCACAGAGCTCAAGAAAGGGATCTTTCAACCCGAAAACAAAAACGGCAAGAAAAAAGAAAAAAATGCAATAACTTCCAACCTGAGTTATAATGGCGGTACAGGCCCCAGCTGAAGCAGCAAGAATCAAGTTGGCTTTTGTTCCAATAGATTTTGTACCATATTTCACTTGGTATATCCTTTTAAAGTAGCTATATCCATAGAAGTATACAAATTGTGCGATAAATGATTGCAAGTTCTTGGTTCCGAGGCCCTGATACAATGACAAAACTTTACCGTTGGATACCGCCTCCAACAACACATCTGATAGTTTCCTGCATCACCCACATGACAACTTCATCAAGAAAATTTCCCAATATGCTTTGATGAAGAAGTCGTTGAGAGCAATATAGCATAAGCAATGAGGATAAAGATGTGGTAGAGACCAATGATCCATATAACTCCACGATGGTGTTATTAAACATTTGCTTTCATCTTTCAATATGGGATCTCTATGTTTAGGAAGACGCACCATGCTTGGCTCATTGGTTAAGGCCCAGGGGATGTAGTGGAAATCTCATCTTCCCAAGGTTCAAACCTAGGCCATTCATGGTTGCCCAGGGGATTAGTTGGTGCCTGTAAGCTCCGGGATTCCCACGGTTACCCCAAACAAATCACAAACAATCAACCTAAAATCATTACAGTTACTTTTACTTGTGAGTCAAACCAAACATCAATAGAAGGGCCCTTGAGCATTCCCAAACACCAGGCCGGGACCACATACCCCTGAACGAAAAGGTCAAAAATACCCTCAAAGAAGAAACTTTTGATATAGGAAAGAAACAAAGACTAAGAAAAAATACCAAGGGAAGTCCCTACCATTCTCAAGAACCAATAGATGCATTCTCACAGCCCAAAATAAGTACTACAGGTGGCTATTTGGTCACCCTAGCAGTCAACTAGGTACAAAAAGGCCTTCAAGCTGTGAATCATCAGAGGAGTGCACTAAAGGCTACATATACGGGACTGGGCAGGACTGGATGGGCACGAGTGAAATAAGCGGGTAAAAGAATTGTGCAAGGTTTAGGGTTATAATTTGACATAGGTAGTTTAGTAACTTACTAATCTTGTCACATCTCCGTGATATTTCTTCCACCTATTTTGGTGGGTCAAAAGTCCTGTCCTGTCCCGGTCTAAAGGTCGCACCAAACATGGACAAGAATGTTTGTCTAAGTTCACCCTATCACACGTACCAAACCGCACCCTAGAGGTGCCGCTACTATCTCTAAGAAATGATCTAAAATCCACAATAGGAAGTTGAAGCATCGCGAGTATACATATCAAACATACAAAGCATGATCAAGAATAGATAGAATACAAAGATGGTTTTAGTAAGGTTATCAAGATTCAAGATTATCAGTTGTTACCAATAGGTCTTCATTGGCCTGCCGGATAGCCCAGCCTCCCATGAGGTCAAGTTCGTCTTTATTGAAGATTAAAATCAAAAATTGGTTGCAGAGATACCATCCTTAATTAACTCATTCTAGTCCAACCAAAACCTATGATCTCTGTTTAAAGTTCGGCAATTCTATTTCAATTGGTGACGATTACTTAAATAAAGAAAAAGCAACAACATACAAAATCAAAAGGTTATTAAAACCAAACCGAACGAACCAATATATCCCACACAAAGACTATTTCCATGAAGACCCTGACTTGCAAAACAAATATATCAGTACATTATTGCTTACTTCATATTCAAATGATCTGTTGTATCTTTAGGCAGATGTTAGGTCTGCATACATCTTATCATAACCAAATCCCACATTCGGGTGAGATAAATGGGTTCGTTTGGTTCGGTTTATATTCAAAAGAGAGAACAAATACCAGATTCTTTAGACAGACATCCAAGATGATGAACATTATCAAGAATTCAGAAACAATTTCAGTTTAAAATTAACTTTCAAAAGTAACTTTTTTTTGACATTTGGGAATCAAATACAAACACATACAAAGTTCAAAACAAAAGCTGCTAAAACTATGACAAAAATCAGCATCGTTATCGATCCTGTAAAGCAGTTGAATCAAATCTTATAAAAAACGATAAAATTGATGTGATCCATCGAGGGGACGATCAAAGTTCAGCAGATCACGAGAACCCACATGACGATAGTTACGAAGATGAACAAACAGAAAGCAATCAATCAATCAAGCTCAACATCATAACAATAAAATCACTTAACCAGATGGATTTTGGGGAAACCATAGAAAAGGGAATACCTATATTTCTGCTGACCATGAGAACGAACCTCAGCTTGATACTTGGCCTTACAAGTATCAAGAGGGTACAAGATGGTTGTGCTCAAAACAGCTCCAATTGCTCCTGATGTTGCCTCCGAAATAGATTCCAGATCAATCGAAGACATCGTTAATCAGAGCAGAGCTCCAATTACATGCAAAAACCTTGAGATAAAAAGGAACACAGAGATGATTATGGGAGGAATTTGGAAGACGAAAGAAGTCAAAAGGGAGTTTGGTGGAGATGATCGTGTTTTAAATTGATTCAACTACTATATGTATAGGGGGGGGGGGGGGGGGGGGGTGTGCCAATGTTGACAACAAGAAGATTGATGATGGGGACGGGATGAAGGATCAAGATAGTATTTTTCTTGGGAATCCCAAATGGGTCAAACCGTGTTTCATCGATTGCGGAAAACCCATTTCGATTGCCATCTCTTTACACCCCAAAATCTTCGATACGAATTATAAAACGTGAAAAATGAGATTTTGTAGGGTTTTCTTCTTAATTAAAAGAGGTTTAATTCTAATAGATATCTTGTTATATTTTTCAAAGTAGAAAAAGAGTAAAGTTTACTTTTGGTCCTTAACGTTTGTTAGTTTTAACGATTTTTGTCTTTCCATTTTATTTTAACAGATTTGTCTCACACGGTTTGACACCTTACAATGATTTTCGTTTCTTATCCTAACGGATATTAACTTTTTCTGTTAAGTCTAACTAAACGAGGGACATTATGGTCTTTTTCATCCCTCTTCTAATTTTTTTTTAAGAACTTAAATAAAATATTATATATATCATCTTCTGAGGTGGGTTTCATGGGTTTTTTTGGGTTCACCAGAGTTGAAAGATGAAAATGGTGGAGAAGAGGATATTCAATCGTCATTGTGTGTTTATGGTACATACACATAACACATATTCCCTTTCCCTCTAAAGGCGGGTTAGATTACAAATCGTCTAATTTGTGAAAACTATGCAAACCATTTTCGACCAATAGTAAATTTTTGTTTTTTATTCTTTAATTTTAATAAATAAGGATGTAATTGTCATTTTACTGTATAATGGTTAATATTGAAAATGATTTGATTATTTTTAAATATGGAAACGTAAATATAGAAACCGTTTTATATAAGGTGTAAATCAATTGTTTTTAAATATAATATTGGAAATGATTTAATTNTTTTTAAATATAATATTGGAAATGATTTAATTATTTTTAAATATGGAAACATAAACATAGAAACCATTTATATGGAAGAAGTAAATCAATTGTTTTTAAATATAATATTGGAAATTATTTAATTGTTTTTAAATATAATATTAGAAATGATTTAATTACTTTTAAATATGGAAACGTAAATATAGAAACCGTTTATATGGAAGGTATAAATCAAACGTTTTTAAATATAAAACAGTGAAACAATGAAATAGTTATATACAATGAAGATGACAGATTAATACAGATTCATACAGTGAACCAGATTCACACATGTGAATAAATACTGTAAAACAGATTCATACAATAAAGAAATACATGTTTATCAAGTTAAGAAAATACAGATTCATACAGTGAACCAGATTTACATTCCCGGAGGGTTCCCTGTCGGTCCGTTATCTTGGTGTCCCTCTCATTTCTACCCGTCTCTATCATCGGGACTGTAAGGGCCTTGTTGACAAGGTTAAATCCAGACTCAATGACTGAAAAAATAAGTCCATTTCCTTTGCCGGTAGGCTGCAGCTCATTCTTTCGGTCCTGTCTTATATGCAAATCTATTGGGCCTCTATCTTCGTTCTTCCGATATCTATCTCTAAGGAGATTGAGCAGCTCATGAGGGGCTTTCTTTGGTGCCACGGTGAGCTCAAAAGAGGGAAAACTAAGGTCTCTTGGAAGACTGTCTGCCTCCCCAAATCTTAAGGCGGGCTTGGTATTAAGAGCCTTGCCAGCTGGAATCTTGCCCTCATGGCCTCCCACACTTGGAGAATCTTCACCAATAAGGATTCTTTATGGGTTAAATGGATCCACTCCTATAGGCTAAAAGATCGTAACTTCTGGGATGTCCCGATTCGCAGCGATGTTGGTTGGGGCTGGAGGAAGATCCTGGGCATGCGGGAAAAGATAAGAGACTTCATTGTTTCCCAGATTGGCGATGGCGCTTCCACATCCGCCTGGTATGATAACTGGCATCCTGCTGGCCCCTTCTACCGGCATATCTCTTCTCGCAATATTCTCAATTCTAATCTCTCTCTCTCTCGGCTCCTATGAAAGATATCATCTTCCAGGGTATTTGGACTTGCCCTCTCCTGAGGGACAGCCCCAACCCTTTAATCCGTAATTCCCCTCTTTCTGTGCTCTCCCCTGCTGCCCCTGATAAACTCCTTTGGAGAACCAAGGATAGCCGTCTCACTTCGTTCTCCGTTCATGAGGTCTGGCTCTCCCTCCGTTCTAATGAGCATGATGTCCCCTGGCATCATATGGTCTGGTTTTCTCAAAATATTCTAGACATGCTTTTATTCTGTAAGTTTCCCTCAAGCAGCGTCTCAAGACGCATGATAAGTTTCGGTTCTATGAGGGCCACTCCAACTTGTCTTGTGCTTTCTGTCAAAACGGGCCTGATTCACATTCTCATCTTTTCTTTGAGTGCCCGTTTCCTAATCAGGTTTGAAATGGCTTAAAACACAAGCTTAACCTCACTGGGGTCCCGGACAACTGGGCTGATATTATTGGTAGGTTCCAGCAAGCCACCAAAGGAAAGACCGTATGGTCTATTATACGTAAATTAGTGCTAGCTGGGACTGTCTACCACTTGTGGCAGGAAAGGAATAACCGCATCTTCAAGAATAAACGAAGATCTAATATTATGGTGGTGAAGACGATTACCGATGATGTCCGATCTAGGCTCCTATGCCTGACCTTCAAGCCCTCTCCTAATGTTGTCCGAGCTCGGTTTGCCTGGAACCTCCCTTAGCTGTTTGTCTCTTGTGATGTGTCTTTGGTGGTGTGAGCTCCTTTGCTCTCTTGGTTCTCTTGGTGCGGTCTAGGGTGTGCCTGTTTTAGGCCCCTATTCCTGCCCTTGTGTTGTCCCCCGTTTTGTTTCTCGGTCTTGGCGTGGCTGGACCCTTCCCTTGTGGTTGGCTTCTTTCTCTTTCTCTTCTTCTTCCTCTCTCTCTCTCTCTCTCTCTTTCTCCTCCATCTTCTCTTTTTTTCCCTTTCTTCTTTCTCTCCTCTTCCCTCTCTTCTCTTCTTTCTTCTTCTTTGTCTTCCTCTTTCTTTCCCCTCGGGGTGCCTTGAATTTTCTGGTAGTTGAGGTTTCCTCCTACCCGAGCGCTTCATTGCTGCTTTTTAGCGTTTTAGTGTTTTGACTTGATCTGGAGGGGTCTCCCCCCTCCCTATAAAAAAATACAGATTAATACAGTGAACCAGATTCATACGATGATGAAATAATGTTTTTCATATAGTGAAATAGTTGCATACAATGATGAAATACAGTTTCATTCAGTGAAATAGTTGCATACAGTGAAGATGATAATGATGAAATACAGTTTCATATAGTGAAACATATTCATATGGATGATTTGTCGATTTTGTCATTTTTAATTAAAAAATTGAACTTTTATTATTATTTTTTAATTTCCTAATATAACACTATTTAATCTTGATTATTAATCAAATAAATGGATGGATGATATTGGTTTCTAGAGTTTTCACAAATGAGAGTGATTTGCAATTGATCGCTCATATATATAGGGGCCTAATCAAATGAGAACTAATTAGTTTGTGGTAACCGTGAGGTCCAATCTCAACCACAAATCAATAGAGAAATTAGAAAATTTATAATTTTAATAATTTTTAATTAAAATTTTAATGCAAGGACATTTTAGGTATTTTCTCTTTTCTCTCCTATCTCCTCTCTCCTTTATTCTCTCTCTGTCTCTCGGCTTCCGGCCACGTCATCCGGTGATACCATAGTGGTATCACAATGCATCTTATATGTGATTGGGTATCACACTGTGATCTTTTATGCGGTCAATCGGATATGTAACACAGTGGTATCATAATGCATCTTATATGTGCTTGAGTATCATACTGTGGTATCACCGGAGGACGGTGGCCAGAAGCCAGAGGACTGTAGCCGGAGGCCGGAAGACGGGGACGGAGAGAGAAGAGATGAGAGAAAATTAACTAAAATGTCTTTGCATTAAAATTTTAATTAAAAATTACCAAAATTAAAAATTTCATAATTTATCTATTGATTTGTGGTTGAGATTGGATCTCACGGTTACCACAAACTAGTCAGTTCTCCCTTGAATGAACCCCTATATATATATACACATATAATACTCCTTAAATAATTGGACTTGACAGAAAAAGTTAATGACCATTAAGATGAAGGACGAAAATTGTTGTAAGTTATCAAACATGAGGAACAAATTTATTAAAATTAAATTGAAGGACGAAAACCGTTGAAATACACAAACGTACTCTTAAGAAAATGAAAAGATAGGACAAAAGATTTTGTATATGTTGGGAAAATGTTTAAGATTTATTTCAGATGAGTTAAAATACAAACAATTAATTTATGGAAGGAAGTTATGTCATTCCAACTCATCCATAAGTTGGATTTATGTATTTATTCACATGTGAATACTTGTTGTCATTCCAACTCATCCATAGATTCATATGTGAATATCTCTTAAGATCTCTTTGAAATAAAATTGTTGATTAATACGAGCAAAAAATTGTACTCATATACATTTTACTCAATATATGCGAGAACTAATATATTATTCACATGTGGTAATATAAAAACGTTTACATTTATCTAAAAAATACATGCATTTATATAGTTTCCATATGTGAATTACATCTATTATTTTGTAAAAAATATTGATATGTGTATCAAATCTATATCTATACTATATTATAAAGCATTTGACAAAAACTCTTAAAAATCACTTTTTATGCGTAAAATACTGTTTATTAATGCATATTACTTAAAACTCAAGATTACAAGTAGATTTTGTGTAA